GAGGGAGTGAAGGAAGCATTGTGGCTGTGGGGTCTTCTAGACGATTTGGGGATCGAGCAGGAAAGCGTGAACTTGTGGTGCGACAGTCAAAGTACGATTCACTTGGCAAAAAATCAAGTTCACCATGCTCGTACCAAGCATATCGATGTCAGGTATCATTTTGTGCGGGATGTCATAGAGGAAGGTGATATCTCTCTCATGAAGGTGCATACGAATGAGAATCCCGCGGACATGTTAACCAAGGTGGTCACAGGCAGCAAGTTCCATCATTGCTTGGACTTGCTTCATATCAGCCCGTGTTGAGTTGCCCAAGAGGGCATGGCCCTGCGGGGCGGTGATGGAGGTGAGGTGGAGACTATGTTGGAGAATAGTTGCAGAACTACGGTTAGCTTGATCCCGGTGGAGGGTACGTAGGCAGTCGCGGTATAGTGACGCAGCTGGTTTGGCCTGGTTTGGCCTATATCTCTCTGGTGGAGTTCGTAGGGGGTTCTCCTGGTGTTGTCGTTCAAAATTTGAGGTTTATCAAATGATGAACGAGGTGGAGAATTGTGATGGAGTGTGGGGCCCACCCACGTGGGTTTGTCTGCCCACACCCACGAGAAAGAGCAGCCGCTCTTCTCTTCCTTGCGTGCGCACGCTCCCGCAGCCTCAAACCTAGCGCCCTCCCGCGCTCGATTTCGAGCTCCCGCGCGCGCCTCTTTCTCCCGCGAATTCTTTCCGCTCCCGCCAAATTCATCCGGATCCCCCCCCTTTAGTTTCCTATAAATAGTGAAGGGGGTGGAGGAGTTAAAGTGTGGGGAAAATAAGTGGGTGTGTAGATTTCTTTTGAGAGAAAAGAAAGAGAGGAAGAGAGAACTTGTAAAGTTTGGTATTTTTCCTCATAGTGAAAAATCCCCCTCCTGTGGACGTAGGCTAGTTAGCCGAACCACGTAAATCTCGTGTTTGTATTTGTTTTATCTGTGAGTTGTCATAGCTTGTAGGTTCCCTCAATATTCGGTCTTGGAGCTGATGAGAGGAAGAGTGTATATTTCACTTTGATGAAATATATCACTTTCGATTCTTGTTTCCTTTGAGAAATAAGAATTTCACTATCTATTCTCGTTTCCTTTGAGAAACAAGAATATAGAGGCTGACTTGTGCTTTTGTGACAATAAAAGGCCAGGGCTCTCTCTCAGGTGATATCGCTTCCGCGGCGGTGGGCGTGACTCTCTCCGCCCCAACATAAAAGCTAATAATAATGATCATCTAGAAAATGGTTAAACTATGCAGGAGCAGATATGCATAAATTGAAATAGAAGAATAATACAAAAGTAGCAACAATAAACAAAATAGATGATACTCCCAAAAAAATAAGGGAATTGATGGGAGAATACATTATTAGAGAAATAGTGGACAAATAATAGGAACAGCTATTATATATTTGCAGCAAGATTTAGACCATAACGCCTATAAAGGCCTAGGGTTAATTGCGTATAGGCCCCCTGTAGCATTGTTGTTTTGAACTTACTACACCTCAATGTCTATTGTTGCGCATAGACCCCCAAGTGAAATTTTTTTCTTTTCTTTTTTTATTCTTTTATCGTCAGAGAAAAATGTTTTTCACAAATAGAACCA